CCAGGCAGTGAACCGGAGAATTAAAGTTTACCATGAAAAGTGCTGATTAAGTGGGAGATTATTATTTTCTTACCTTACTTTGCCCTTTCCTATTTGCAGAACTGCAAGCAGGATTATATGGGTGCCCTGTAACAGAGGCAGTGGAGACTTGCATGAACAAAAGGCCTCCTTGGTCAGTTCGTTTAAAGCTAAAAACTCATTGTTTTAACAGCGTGCACAGCATGGCCTTCAGAGAACCGGGCAATGCACAAGGAGCCGCCATGCATTGGATCTTTGAATGCGACTCCTCATTACTGGGATTGTCACTATGAGTTGCTTCGGCTTTGCTTTGCTTTCCTGGTTTCCTTGATAATATTAACTTGTAAGACTCTTTTATGGCATAAGAAAATGGATTGCTTGAATCCATATAAAACTGAGGCTGCATAGATTCTCCAGCCAGTATACAGGACAGCCATGGCAGAAATGGCAGATGCAATGATGGCTCTCTCTGCTGTCATCTCACCAGTCCTTAAGAGCTCTTCGTGTTTGTTTAGTTTTAGGGTGGTCTGATGCAGAAGTGGGCAGGGTGCCTGCAGCTTCAGTAGTTGTGCAGAAGAAGGAAACGCTCATCTTCTGCACAAGGAACGGAATCCCTGTCCTCTTTTGCATCTGCCTATCCTACATAGCTTTATTGAGACTACAGAAAAGGTACCAAGAAGAGTATCTTTTGAATGTAGGGTGCTGAATTGCTGATTCAAAACTTAGTGCAGGCGACAGAACCTGTGTGACATTTTGCTCCCTATGAATTTGGCTGGATTAGATTCAGTCTCTTGAGAGCAGCCACTGGTACTCCTGTAATTTCCTGACCCATCGCTGGGAACAGGATGCAGCTGCTTGCAACCAATCAACTGCAAAAGTGTCAGAAGCATGAGGTCTGAATCCAGAGCAATCCCAGAGGAGCTGACCTGTGAAAATAGCACAAGCCCAGAAAATAAGCAAGGCGTAAGGTGTTATAGCTGAGGTGGTTGATACATTAAGGGGAAAGTGCCTGTCCTTTGTTTCTGGATTATTGCCAATCAATTCAAAGAAAGTTTACGGAAGTGGGAATAATTCATGCATATGTGTTCAAGTAAAAACACCTTATCACGCAGAATGCTAATAGCCTTTTCTTATCTTCCCCAGCATTCCCATACCTATTGTCCTGTTTTAGACAAGTGACTGCAGCTTTACCTGCATGTGCAGGGTAATGTTGGAATGCCACTGTGTTTGGGTTAGGATTGTAGTTTGTTTTGTATTTCCAAGTCCAGCACAAGAGACAACATCCAGAAACATTGGCTCACTGTATTAGAAAATTCTAATTTTCCTACTGCATTCCCATTTCATGGAAATGTAAGCAAACTATGCACTTCAGGCTGTAAATTATCTTTTTTGGTCTCTGTTGTGGCAGCAAAATAAGGAGAACTTTCCATTGGAGTGCAGAAGAACAAAGTCTTCTCACAAGAAGAGAGTGAATGTTGGCCTCAATTTCTCTATGAGCAAAGAGTGGAGATTCAATCCATGTTTGAAATACGAGGCTTGTATTTTCCCTGATGGCATCATTTGTGAAGGAGGAGAGTCCTTCTGGGTAGATATGGATTGGTTTTTGCCAGACTTCAGGGAATAATTCTGGTTTGCTGTAGGAAAATCTTGTGAAATAGTTTAATTCAACCTTCTCCAACCTGAAACTGCCAGAAAATGTGGCATCAGGCCTATATATTTAGGGTTGTATTGAAATCTTTGGTGACAAGAAGCACTGTACAAGAAAAGTATTTTTTTATATATATTAACTATGGAATAAGGCCTTTATAGATGCAATCCTTGGCCAGAAAACCCAGTTGCAAACCTTGGTCAAAAAAGCAATGCACAAGAAAAAGAAATTGTAGATTAATACTGTTGTTGCACTTCTCAGAAAGCCTTTGTTTTCTCTGAGGAGCCCAAGGAAATTGCAGAAAATGGAAAGCCCAAAGTGCTGGCTGGCCAAGATGTTTAAATGTCATAGCAATAATTGAGCTGCCCAGAAAACTGAACTCATGGTTTTCCTGCATTGCCAGCAAGACTTCTTTATACTTACTGTTAAAATAAAAACATCAGTAAGAATTTTCTCATTGAAATGAAGTGAGAGTAGTCAGATCAAATCCAACCTTACCATAAAGCGAAGGCTATCTAGCAATGGTACATTTCTGCAAACACAGAAGTGTAAATTTGGGGCATAATCTCAGAAAGTTCATCCAACCCGATCCTTTCCATCAAGTATTACCATACCCAAAGCATGTCCCAATAGCTGGCAAACTCCAGTAGCTGGTGTGTGTGCTGGTATACCAAGAGAACCTTGCTGTCCTTCTGTCTGGGGAAGATCTCTCCTTTATCACCCGAGTGAGCTTTTAGAAGCAGTATTTAGCTTGTATCTCCCAGTCCCTTTCCTGGGAGAGGCTCTAGTTGGCTTGCAGCAAGCTCACATGGACCTGTCTATCGCTTGATTACAGCCAATCACCTGGTGCGGTGTAGGTGTGAGACAGCCATGGAAGGTCAAGCACCACATACAAGCCTTTCCTATCACACACACAGGGCTTTCACTGAGGCAGTTCACAAAGCCAGCTGCAAGTCTGTAAGCTGCCTTGAGCCCTTTGTAGGAAAAAGACAGGATATAAATCCATAAATAAATAAATAAATAAATAAATAAATAAGTAAGTAAGTAAGTAAGTAAGTAAGTAAGTAAGTAAATAAGTAAGTCAGAGCAATGTCAAACTGGTGCAAACCCATCCTGAAATACAACTGATGATCTTGGCCATATTAGGAATTGTAGAGGATAGCATGCAATGGAAGTTTGAAGCACAAGGGATAATTAACAAGGCTCATTATAATTCACTTCCCCTCATGTTGGTATTGCCATTTTTTCCTGACTTTGAGAGGCAGCAGTTCAACAAATTAAGGGGTTTTCTCCTCCAAGCAGGGCGCTGCAGTAATGTCATTCCATGGTTAACAGGGATAAGAAAAGGGGATAAGCACACTTTTCAGAATATCTTCTCATTATTGATCATGCTGTGGTAGCACCAGGAGGAGGGTTATAATATATAACAGAGAATAACAGTTACAGATTCCTTTTGACTTCCAAGCACAGGCTGGCCCAGCAATTATAGGCTATGACTAAAATATGCACGGATTTTGTTAGTTGTTATTTATCAGCTGAATGCTACAAAAGCTTGGGTAAGCCACTGCATTTCTCCTCACCTGACTTGTAAATGGAGAACAAGCCACAGGATCATTTCCTTTGTCCAAGTAATCAGTTCTCAGAATATGTCTATTACTATCTGATCCATGATCACCTAGAAAGGCAGTGTTGAGAATTGTGCAGTCCAAGTGTTTTTAGGATTGGTTTTTAGCTTGTTTAAGAAAACAAAGATGGGATTAAAATGGAAACGATCTGTTGATAAAATTCATTCACATGTCATCTGGATTTATTTAAATATCAAAATTGTTTTAAAAATCATAATCCAAAACTAAATGATAGGAATGATACAACATTTGAAATCCTGCCAAAATGCTAGCATGAAAGAATACAACCAATCTGGTAATTGTCCAGTTTGAGAATGATAGTTCCCATTTTCTGTGGCTGGTATCTGAAAAGTTCACAGCTGCATCCATTACTGTAATAATTACATATCTTTCATGGTAGGGGGTTCTTACTGCACTAAAACAACAGGGTACAGACTAAATGGACAGTGATTATTGATTGACATGAGTAGGGAATTTCCGCTTAACGTTCTCTGCTGCCTCTGAGTTGCTGCCGTTTTGAGAAGCTCTTGAAGCTCAAACCACACCCGCCCCCCCGGAATTTTTGTTTCATTCAGTTAATGTATTTTAATCTACTTGTATGGTTCTGCTGTTACATGATCTCTTTATGGTTAATAGAGAGAAAAGACTTGAAAGATTGTTCAGTGATATATTCAGATGCGGAAAGTGGGAGTATTCTGCTGCTGGTCCCTCATTTAGGATATTGTCCCAGGCTGTTTATCTGTGATCCTTTTAGGGGGCTCTACCCCAAAGGGAAATCACAATGCAGTCAGACCTGTAGATCCCTTAAGAAAGGCAGTTCTCTGACCACAGAGAAAATTGGCAGGGAAATTACGTCTGCTTTCAGCGATGTTCTGCTACGATGAATTTTCTTTGCCCACCATGGCACCCAGTGCAGATACTACTTTTTCCTGGAGATACCCATAGAGCAGGTCTGGCCAGGACATTTTCTGTCTATGTAAATTTAGACAGGAAAAAAAGCTACAAATGTGTTTTGCCTGAGCGTGCATAGGGTTATACCCTGAATTGTAAGTGGGAGTATGGAAGAGTGTTTGGTATTTTTACCTTAAAAAAAAACATCTCTGAACGGCTACAGCTGTGTCACCAAATTTAAGCCAGACAGCAATTTCAGTTCCAGCCTCATTTTTATTAAGCAAAGTTTTTGTGTTTATGATGTGCATGCCTAGTACATAGGATGATTTAATTCTTGCTCCTTTGAAGTTTTCTTTTAAAAATAATGCTGAAATAAATAGCCACTGAGCTGTCAGAGCAGAGCTGATGAGTTGGCTAGACCCGCTCCTGAGAAACGCTCGTTTATGATCTGAAATGTGGGGCAGGGCAATGCCCTAATTTGATACACAACATGTGCTGTGATAGAAAAAAGGGGGGTTAAGGATACAACCCTGTTTAATTTCAGGCAGAAAGAAAACCTACAGCTCCCAGCTGGCTGGGGCATATTGGGAATTGCAGGCCTTGCAGACAGAAATTGCATTTCCTGTCTAAACATGCGTACACAGTTGTTCCTTCCGTTGATCTGATGGCTCTGCTCTCTGTCACTGTGGTGCAACAGGAATGTATTTTAAGTGTTCGGTGCATACAGGTAAGGCGACAATGCTCTAACCCTCTCTGTAGTTGGTCAGGTATGGTGCTATCAGTTTCTACTGAGCCTTTGTCTTCTTCCTCTGACTCAGCCAAGCTACCCTTTGTGCTGTCTGGGCAGTTTCTCCAGCCTTTAGAAGGTCGAATGAATCATCACCGCTCTTCCCTTTGAAGCACCTCTGGATTCTCCAGCGTACAGCCCTCATTTTGTCCCTTATTATATTATATTCTTTTAAACCATTCATGTGTAAGAATCAATGGAGGCAAAAAGTATCTAACAGTATTTTCAGTGGCAGGTCTCATCTGAGATCCAAAGAGCTGAAATGATGGCGTCCTGTCTAACTAGCTTCATGGCAAGCTTTGCTCATGGGACAGAGACACAAAAGAAGCATTCGTTGGAAAACATTTCCCCTTTTTTTGCCTTTTACTGGGAAAGAATCTGAAAATCCTTGTTTTTGCAGGACTGTTGAATCCTCAGTGACTATCACTAGAAGTTGGGATTGACTCAAGCAATTTTCCTGTTAGAAATATAAATGGGAAGAATGTAATCTGGAATGACGTGCCTGCTTGCTGTAATCCTGCTTGCTATGTATTCAATGTGTAAAAAACATGTCCAAGACTTCCCAGATTATCCCCCACTACCTGTATCAACAGGGGCTCTCATTCTGTCCAAACACCTGCACTGTTCCATCAACCTCCTCCCCCTTTTTGTTGTGTAGATGGACGGACTGGCTGGCATTGCTGCGGTTCCACTGTGGTAACTTGTATGGTTTCTGGACCTTCTTACAATGGACTTTGCTAATCTTAGATACCTTCCTGCAGGTTCCTGCAGATGCTTCAGTATGTAAGTGCCAAGCATTGTTTGCAGATCTTATTTTTTTATTCCACTTTGTGTGCTGTAAGCTTCTTCCATAGGAAATTCCCATTCTAAAAATGATATTCATGGAACTGTTTGGGAATTTGAACCCACAAGATGTTGAAAGTAGAACTCTTTACTTCCTGACAAAGTAGCTTGTGGATGCATTCAGTGGAAAAGAGACAGAATCACTAGACATGGGAGGTGATTGTGTGTTTTTTCCTAGTGCTGTTAGTACATCCCAAAAAGTATTGAGTAATATAATCTTTTGTGCTGTACATGTGCCTCTTCCTGTCAAACTGTACTAGAATCTTAATAAAAAGATCTGAGATACAACTTTCTGGTATTTCTGCTTTGGCTGTTTCTTTTATTCTTGGTTACTAGGAAGAGTCAAGCAACCAAACAAGCTAGAATGATGTTCCACAGTTCTATGGACCTGGATTGTGTAGCCAAGACCCTTGAGTTTATGGCATGGTTTTCTACATTCCGCAGTCATGTCCCTTGTGTTCAGGGGTCAGACAATCTCATCTGTGCTGTGCCCCTGCTCATTTTCAAATAGTTCCCATGTTTACTGACTGACAGCCTCACTAAATTGAAAATATTTGCACAAGATCTTCACCAGCTGCTGGCTGTTCCTGAAATAACTAGCAGTGGTGGAATTGTCTCAAAGTATGAGTGATTCAGGCCTCCCTACAGAGCTGTGAGAGGTTCTTGGAAAACTGTAGCTGTCATGATTCAGGCAGGATGAAAAATACAGGCATACCCCTTTCCCGTTCCACCTAGAGTAATACACTTTACTGTGTGTCTCCCTTCTTAATTTTGTTGCGTTGACTGGCCACGTCAGAGGACAATGAAGCATTGGCATTCTCCTTGCCACAAATCACAGAATTTTTTTTGATTTTCTGCAAATAAGACAATTCACACGTATTGGTCCCAACCTGTACTTTTCCCCGTATGAATCAAATAGCTTTGGGGGATGGCTGGCAAAACAGTATATAATAGAAATGGCAAACTTTCTGTCTCCCAGTGCTGTGGTTCCAATCTAAATTACCCCACACAGTGACTTCCATTAACATTTCTGGAAACCACTGCAGGTCCAGTTCATGCATTTCCTATGTCATTTCCAATTTTGCCCTCCTAAATGGTGGTGTGCCAGAGCTCACAGGGATGTGATACTTTAGTATGTGATCTGCCACTCCCCATAGAATTTCCTGTTTCTTTTGAGTTCAACTGCAACCCTCAGAGTAGCTGAGGGAAATCGAATTTTTCCAGCACCAATACATTGTTCTCTCTTGTAATACAAAGTAGTTTGGGGTGTCTTGGCCTTGAACGGGCAGTTAACACCTATTAACTTTATAAAGTCCTTTTTCCATTATGGATGAAAACTAATGCATCGTTTCTAAATTCTCCTTGGGGGAACGGCTAGGAGGGCTGTCAGAAGGTGTGTCTTTATGTCAAACTTTACCATTATAATTATCATATTGCATTTATATCCCACCATAGTGAGGAACCCATAGTGGCTTATGAAATCTTCCATTCCATTTTATCCTCACAACAACAAAGCTGTGCAGTGGACCAGGCTGAGAAGGAGTGACTGGCCTAAAGTCACCCAGTGAGCTTCATGGCCAACTGGGGACCAGAACCCAGATCTTCCTTGTCCCCGGGTCAACACCTGAACCACCACATCAGCTCTCCTGTGGCTCAATGCCACTGCTGCTAAAATGATCACCACAGTTGACCTGTGCCCTCTTGATTGTAATATTACATTTCTCACCTTCCTTCCAAGGAACTCATGGTGGTACTGCTGCACTCATGCTCCAGGTTCACACCAGCTTGGGAAGAAGGTTAAACTGAGATGTGCTGATCAGCTTAAGGTCACCCAGTGAGCTTCATACCTAGGCAGTCATTTGAACTGGGACTCTGTAGTTCTGGCCTCACTGCTTTTCTCCCCCACACCTACACTCTGGGCATCCACAGAGAGTTATTGCTTTCATTTCTATTATGTTCTTCTGAGGATTTGAGTGTGGTCTTTGGCTGCACAACAACTACTTCCGGTTGATGAGATACTGATTTGCCCAAAGACTAAGTTAGCTTCATTGCTGTGCAGATGTTTAAAGCTGGATTTTTCCCATCCAGATGCAGTACTTTAGCCAGTAGGCCAGAGTGGAACCCCAATGTACAGGCTACAGCCAACAGGGGTTGTAGGTTATGGGTCTGTTTTGGTTTGCTTGTTCTAATGATTGTACTGTATCTTTTTAACGTATTGTACACCACTTAGAGTACATTGGTTATTGAGAAAATGCAAAGTTGCTGTGTAGTGAATAAATTAAAAAGTAATTTTCATAGAAAACAATCATATAGCTTTGCAGATGCTCAGAGAGGAAACATGAAAAATAGTGACTGATTTTTTAAAACAGCATTCTTAGATTCCTCGAATGTTCATAATTGTCCACTATCACTCACACAGCCTTAACAGCAAAAGTCAAAGTGCATTGCTACTTACAAGTCCCCACCTTAATAGATAAGCAATACAAGGTCTATATCTGCAGAAGTGACTGTGTCAGTCTGTTTGCCAAGGAGGAGGTACTTTTGCATAGCAATCTGCATGCAGGATGGAATTGGGCATGACCCTGTGTGTGTGATAGATAAATGCAGTAGATTTGATCCATATTTAAACTGGATCAGCTGGTCTGGTAGATGGGCAGCTCTTCTTATCCCCTGAAATTCTTCATGGAGAATCAGGAGGCCCTGCTGAATGGGGTGCAGTGTGCAGGCGTGGGTCCCCCAAAATGGGATCAACGGGCCTTCTATGAGGAGGGCAGGCCCTGGGTCCAGACAAGTGTTCTCCAGCAGATGGCTTGAATCTAGCCAGCCAAAGCCATTCAAGGAAACAGGAATGACACTAGGGAACATGACTTTTGATTTATTTTTTATTTGCCGCTCTCCACTGCTTCCTCTAAACTGCGATGCAATCGCAGCTTCAGAATGGCAGATTGCACAGGGGGCTTTATGGCCTTCCCTGAAGCCTTTATTGTTCAGCATTGCCCCAGCTGCAACAGGTCCAAAGCTGGCACTGCTGCTCCCCTGCTCCCCATAAGGTGCACCTTTTTTGTAATTCAGACCCAAAGGACCCAGTGGGGAGGAGTTAGTGGGAGGAAAGTAGCAAAGGAAAACTGACTGCTGTAGTTAAACTGCTTGGATGCAGAGAGGCTGCCACAGGCCTGAGCTTCCGCTGTGGGGTACCATTTTTCACATCACCTGCCAGACCTACCATCAGGAAGGTGAGATGCTGTGAAGCCGCTTTCCCTAACCTAGTGTCCTCTGGATGTGTTGGACCATGTGGGCTGGGGCATGTTGGGGGTTGTAGTCCAGCACAGGGAAAACGTGCTTCAGATGGGCCAAAATGGAGCTTTCCCTAGCCTCTGATCTCCCTCTTTGGCACCAATAGTAGTGGGCTGTGATCATCCCTTTTGAGATCCCTTGCCTGTCCCAAAGTGCCCAAGAACCTTGGAAGGCTGCCCAAGCTGTCTGGCTGCTGGCACCAGCCCTGCTGATGTGAAGCCAAAGTCCTCAGTTAAACTGGAAAGATAAGCAGCATCAAATCCTGAGCAATACAGGCTTGGTGGCCAATGGCCAAGCATCAATTACAAATAAACCCTTTCTCTTAGGAACACAGAGAAACTGTATAGTTCCCACGGAGATGGGGAAAAGCCATTTGTAAGTCAGGATGGCCTGAAAGCTGCACCACTGGGTCCATAATGACATTGACTACATTGCTGGGGCACTAATAATATTACACTGCAGGGCTGCTTTCCAAAAATGCGACCGATCAATATGAACAGCTGCAGCTGTCTGCACAAGAGAAAGGACTGGAGCCATCCTGCGTGTGGTACCAGGTTTCTTGATGGCCGACACACAGATTTAATTGCAGGTGAGTCTAAGAACCTTCAGTACAGAACTCATGCTTAGAGAATTTTGTGCTACTCCTGAATTTGTCACCTGAGAGTTCAGATGGGTGAATCATACTGGTAGAGGCATCAGAAGTAGACTTTAGGACTGCTGAAGAAGAGACTTTAGGACTACAATGGCAGGAAGCCCCCCGGTCTTCCCTGGAGGAATGGCTCCCTCTGTCTCCAGGTACGTGGGGTCAAGATGTGATGACTCAGTGATGGGGGGCTGATACCTGGCAGAGATTAGGGTCAGGGTCAGGGTCACATGCACTTCTCCAGCTAGCCTAAGCAGAAACCCCACCTAATGAATATAGGAAGCTCATATTCCAGCATCCAGCTCCACCATCAGAAACACAAGATGTGATGTCAATGAAAAGGGCACCAGTGTGTCCTACTTTCTGGATGACAGGCCTCCGTTTGAGGACCTCTTCTATCTGAAGGCATGTCTGAGTCCAGCTTAAAGAGCAAGAATGGGAAGAAGGCAAGCAGCAGTGGGCTTGAAGTTGATGGTCCACTGTTAGCACCAGGACAGAAGACTGTGCAGGCAAACAGGTCACCTGGTCCCTATTTTGCGCTGTATTTCTATCGATATTCTGGTAATTGTTTCTAAATTTGCAGCTATATTAAAAAATCAACATATGCACACCTGTATCCCTTTTGTATCTTTTATGATGCAGGCCCCCCTTGTCAGACTGCGTGGAAGTGGCATGTTTCTGAAAGAAAAGAGACATTAGAATGTCAGAAGGTTTGAAGCCACTAACCTCGGGAGAGCAGCTGCAAGAATACTGCTCAAGATGCAATTCTATGCACACTGTCATAGAGCCATGCAGTGGGATGAGAGCTGGCAAAGCTCCCTTCTTTTTATAAGCAGTGCTTTTGCAAGAAAATTCCTCAGGCTGCTACCAGTCTATTCTC